ATATAATGTATTTTTGTACATATATATATATGCATATATAATTTATTTTTTAATACATTAAAAAAATTTTTATTACTTTAAATGAAGCTGGGTAACGGTGCCTCTTTTTATATGTACGAGACACTTTACTGACACCGTATGGCCGCACATGCGCAAACAAACCGGTCCCTAATCGGAACACTGCTACAATCGCTTTCATCTCATTCGAAAGATAATTTAATTCTCTACAACTTTTGTTTGGGTACTATTTGTTAAAAAACGCATACTTCCTCTAATATTTGTAAAAATGTATAAAATAACCGTGATTTCAGAGGTTTTTGGGCGCTAACTTTTTAAAGAAGCATTTTTCGACTCATGTTTATAGGAAATTTTTGATTCAGAATCAAATTTGCTATAAGATCTCAAAATATCGCCGGAACGTTTAGGACCACTCTGTATGTATACGCAAAACTATCGCGATTGGTGCAAAATAAATTTATTTTTTATATTGAAATTATAATATATTAATCTACAACATTAAAATGTACACCAATCTCAGATTGGGATACTTAGGGTGCGTTCCACTTAACGCCCGCAACGCTCCTAGAATCATTTTATCCTCGTTTAACTTTCAATGAAAAACAAGGATAAAATGATCCTAGGAGCGTTGCGGGCGTTAAGTGGAACGCACCCTTAGAGTATACAAAAATTAAATACACTGATATCACAACGGAAAATTAGAATGTACAAATTAAGTAAAAAAAACTTAAAGGAAAGAAGAAAAAACAAAGAACCTAAATAATTATTCACTTAAAATATTAATTTTATCAGATTATGACCTCAAATACACTGAAAATTAAGCGAAAGTAACGATTGTTATCGTGAGAACAAACATTCCATATAATCTGTTAAATAATTTAAAGAAATACAAGATAGTCATTACGTTCCAGTCGTCAAAAGATTTAATACTATTTAAAAGAAAGTTAAAACATCTTACTATATCACGATGATAAGCACACTGCCTCCAATTGACAAATTAAAGAGCGAGGAAAATTTTAACGATTGGAAGTTTGCGATGCAAGCTTATTTTGAACACGAAGATTTACGAGTGTGATGCAAGAGAAGATAAAGATCCTAAAAGGATCACAAAAGTTTGGTCAAAAATTGTATTAGCATTCGAGCTAACAAATTATATTCATATCCAGGATGCTACAAACGCAAAAGAAGCCTTTGGGAGAAGTTGTGTAAAGCCTTTGATAACTTCGGATTTACATAAAGTTTTTTTATTAAGATAATTATTATCTACGTTCTTAAAAAGTGCAATCCAGTGACTGAATATGTAAATATCATTATTTCAATTGCGCATCAATTGTCACATCAGTTTGAAGATAAATGAGGAATGGATCATGTTGTTACTGGTTTATCAGATGATTATAAGCCAATGATAATGGGTATCGAAAGCTCTGGTTTACATATTACTCTGGAGATTCTATTAAAACTAAACTTTTACAATTTTAACAAATTTTTTTCAGCCATCAAAACTCACATTAGTAGCAGTCAGTATGTTTGCTTTTTATCTTTTGCAATTTGGCAAGTCTTAGGAAAAGTCTAGATAAATTTGTTTTTAGTTCTTTCTCTCTTTAATCTGTTTGTCATAGCAAAAAAAAAAGAATAATAAAAAAGATATTTATTACATACTTGAATTTATTGTATTATATATCACAAAAAGAGAAACTAAGACATTCTACTTGTCCCATAGACCAATCTCTTTCATACGTGTTTGAAAGTATTTTTCCAGAGCGTTAGCGCAACGATAATAATCAGTATTAAGATTATTGTACAATCTACAATTCGTAAAGATTCGTGTCATGTCTGCTATAAATAATCTTCTTGTCACATAGTATCTGGACCTTAAACGGTCTTCCATAGTTTTGAGATCTGTAAGATAAAAGATCATGTTTCATGTTTCCGAATTTCTTATTATTTTGGTCTCAAGTTTTATTTTAATATTGTATTATTTTTATTTTATTATTTTAAAACACATCTCTTTTATATTTGTAAGTATCTTCTTCAAACTTACCCATAGGATATTTTATATGATCATAATAATCTGGAACTTCGTTTTTATCTACAGGTTCCAAAAACGGCCAAGCTGTGTCGTGGCTTTTCACGCTATTCAAAACACTGTTCAAGGCGTTATATAAAGAATCCGACATATCTATACAATCCATAAGTTCCGAACTCTGCGTTCCTTTTGTCATACCTCTTGTTCTTATTTGCGCGTAATTCTTCCATCCGGTTTCGCGAATTCCTGGAATTGATTCTACCGGAATACCCCTCACACCTTCTTTAAAGCACGTTAAACCAGGATGAATCTTTTGTATTTCCTGTTGTCTTTGATAAATTAATTTCTTGACGATTTCTTTTTGCTTTCTTAAAACCGCCGTAAACTCTGTATATACAATTTTAGCATTTAGTTCGCAGTGCATCAATGTTGCTCTTTCGTAATTTTTTATATATCCTTGATACATGGACTTGGATAGTTTTATGTCTTTGCTAAATCCTTGCTTTTTAAAATACCCAATGGCAAACTCATCTGCGAACGTAAGAAAATGCAATATGTTGTTCTTAATATGATAATCTTTTAGCATGTTCATTAAGTGTGTCCCATAGCCCTTTACTTGCTCTTGACTCGTAACCGCGCAAAATACTATCTCGGTAAAACCTTGAGTAGGAAACGTACGAAAACAAATACCACCGATTGGACGACCACCTTTTATTAGGGCTAACGTTTTATGCTTCCTGTATAATTAATAACGCATTATTGCTGGATGACTTTTTATAATAAACTAATTATAATATATTAATATTAGAGACAGTATACTTACGGATCAAAAACAAATTGAGATATATATTCTTTGGGCATTCTGACTAATTGATGACTAAATACATTATGTAATCCTATCAGCCAAAGCATAGTTTGCTTGGACACAGGCTGTGTGAGACTATTTCCAACAACGTGAAATTCTATGATCTTCCTGCTTTCTTCAATTTTCGCTGTTTCATCTCTTGGAAGATCCGGTGGAAATACCACATCAGGACCACACATGTAATTGGGATCATTGATAGTCGCAACAATTTCAGCAACAGTCTCATCAGGAAGATCCTCAAAAACCTCTTCACTTTTTCGTTTCTTTGCATCAGGCCGCCCTTCGGATAGAGCGCGCTTTTCAGGAAGTCTTCTCATTCCAGGACTAATATTTATTGTTGTGTAATTATCTTTCTCGTTAGGTATGACAGTGATTCTCTCAAATTCTCCTGTTTTTTTCACTTGATGTCCTTTTGATTCTAAAGCAGCTTGAAGATGAGAAGGTGGTATTTGCTTAAATTCAGGATCCCAAATAGGTGAATTGTCCGAATAGATCTCGATTTCCAACATTGAAAGAAACCTTAAATGCAAAAAGTTATATATACAACAAACATCAACATGAAAAAGAGAAAAATTTTTAGAACTTACTTAGGAAAATATGTTAAAACCATAACTCTCTTTTCTGGTGTTAACTTGTCTCTGTCATTGTGACATTTGTCCATTAATTGCCTACAAAGTGGCTTGAATACAGCTTGTAGTAAAGTCTTTCCAAAAACTAAAGGAGTATCATGATGTGGTAATGAATCACAAAATGCAGGTACGTGGCAAAAAACAAGCCAACGGGTGTAATTAATTTTATAAGCAGGAGCTTCCTCAGCACCAATTGTTGTTCGTCTGATACTAGGTGCATCAAAGTTCCAATGATTCAGACAATGCAAAAACATTTTTGCCATATCGTACATAACTTGCCATTCTCTTGGTGGAGAATGACTAAACTTATGCAAAACAAAATTCATTACCGCTTTTGCAATGTTGGGTCTTTCAAACGGTGGCTGGCCTAATGGACCTTCTACTGTCGGTTTTGTCATAGACAAAATACACTTTCTCAGTAATTTATATAAATAGAAATATATTTTTTTAGTATCAGGATCTTCTTCTCTATGTATACTCATAAAAATATGGTCTGCATCCATAGCCATGCCCAATAATCTATTAATTTCTTCATCAGATTGAATCGGTAGATGCTTAATATGATTTTGTAAAGGATGAGTACACATTTTGCACAGATCTACAAAATTTATAACAGACTGCTGTACCTCACCTTTTGGCGATTTTACAACAGGCTGTGCATTCTTCCAGCCATTACATTTGCATTCTTCTATTTGACAAGCACTGTAAGCTGCAAGTTTCAGCAATTTCTTGATTTGAGGCCAATTATACATTTGTTGCTTGCGTTGCTGTATCCTTTGAAGATTATTTGGTCGATTTTGAGTCTGTGGCTTAGTTGAACTTTGATCCTTATTACTTTCCTGCTGTAAGGTACTGGTAATAGGTTGTCCAGACTCTTTCAAAGCAGCTACTGTTGTATGCCGATTAATATTTTCAGATGCCATCCTTAAAAAATCATTATAATATTTATATTAATCGAGTAAAATATATTTATATAGCTATACATAAATAAGTCTAATGATATCGTATCTCAATGTATCGCTACAATAATTTTTGCAACAAATTAATATTAATACATACTCAAAAGTTTCTTCCAATAGAAGCAAATCGTGTGTGTGTGCAATTCGACGTGAATTAAATTAATTTTACTTTTATTCCCAATACTGTCGTTGGCTTGAATCTTCAATAACAATACTTCAGCACAAATAAACTGTTATAACATCTATAAGATATTTTTCATGTCGATATAATCAGCATTTCGTGTAATTTGTTATTATTGTTGTTAATTTGAAATATGATTTTCACCTAAAGCGTGGATTGGCGTTACATATCGACCGGGTTATGGTGACATATAGGTACTTGGTTCCGCTTAACTGAGGGTATCATATTAGAGGGTGCTGTAAACGCTGGTAAACAGAAAAGAATTCTTTAAGGTTTTCAGAGGTTTTTCTCTATTATTCTCCGTATGAAATTTTATTCATATTTCACTTTTTTTAAATTCCCATCTCGGTCGATTAAAAATGCCGAAAACAAAAATATAATGTTTTATGCAATTGCAATTCTTCTATAGGTAAAACTTCTTTTTTAGGTTAAGACAAGATACACTGGAAAAAGCCGGTCACTCACAATTAAACAAATATGTTGTAATGTAATTTCGCCAATTAATGCTTCTCGAATTGCTTTTTGTCAAAAGATTTGATTTCAACAGCAAGCTCATGCACTTATCACTATTTCACAAATTTGGAACATTTCTACATTATTCTCGTATCACATGAAACTTTACAAAACTATTATTGCAATTGCCATTGGGTACGGATTATACTTGGAAGATTTGAATTATTTCGTGTATTCATGCCATTAGACGCATCGCTGCAGAAAATCTGGCCATAAAATCTTTGCCAAAAATTTTGTGTACTATTTTATATATACTATTATTATTAAGTAACATCGTAATTAGAAGAATAAGATCTATAAACTTACAAGATGTTGGATTTACACTTTTACAATTTCAAATTTTGATTTACAATTGATTTATAATTTTAATTTTAACATTATTATTAAATGGAATTACGAACAATCGCTTTATTTGATACTGAAAATAGTACTAATTTAAAAAAAAAAAATTTTTTTTATTATTTTGAATCAGACAAGATATTTCTTGGTATAGAAGAAGGTATAGATTTTTGAATGCTAAAAATGATGCCGCAAACCAAATTTCACAAGCATGTCAGGTTTTCAAAATAGTTGAGATTTAATATGTAAAAAATGGGTTTTTTTGCGATATTTGATATTTTTTTGTAAGAAAGCTTTAATCCTTCATAACATGGCCAAAAAGTAAGATATCGAAATAAAAAAAATGCATTTTATAGGGGATGAACAATACATCCAAGAAAAAATGGTATAATATAGTCAGATGTAAATATATATAATTAGTTATAAAAGGATCTAATAACATATGTAATTTTAT